CAGGCTGGAAAAAGGCCCGAGGTGGCCAGACTAAAACATGGCACCAATGTATGAAGTCTCTGACTGTTGGTTTAAGCCATGTAGGACGATGCAGACTAGGTGGTTGGGGTCCACGGGACAAGAGGAACCAGTGGTTGGAGACCCTAGGTGATATGGCTCAGAACCGAAGTCAGTGGCGCAGATGTATACACACATTATCCTCATCTTAACAACGCTATACCGAATCTCACTATTTTGTCACTCCTCTTTCCTTTCTTCTCATACTTTATATTTCTTTTGACTGCATTCACTTATCTTCATCCTTCACCTCACTACCTTTTTACTTGATGTGCTGATATGAGGTGTGGCAACTCGGACCGTTACGCAGTAATGCCTGGTCCTATGTTGATAATGATGATGATGATGATGATTGAGGGTAAGATATACCAGAACTTCAGGTAGTACACTTGTTCATTGACAAAAACTAAAAGCATCAAGGCGTCTTTCTAAACTAATACATTCAAATACACCTGTTTTATCAGCGAAAGCTTGACAAAACATGCAAAGCTCATTGAAGACGAAGTTCTACATATATCAGATACATGGTGACATTTTTTGCCATGGCTGTAGCAACCCTTAAGATGAGACCAAAATGCCGGAAGCCTACAATCGCTGCTACCACACAGTTGGAGATGGTTTGGGATCATAGATCCCAATAGTTTGTGCATCCTTATATTCAAGAAAACGAGATTAAATGTCCTATCTATTGTTTAGCGATCTGATTCGTGATATATAAATCATTAAGTTTCTACCAAATCAGAACCTGGGATTAATAAGCGATGGTTTAGGTTGCCACACCTCGTACAAGAAAATCAAGCAAAATTAACTAAGATAGAAGATAACAAAATGAAGAAGAGGGGTATCAAAATTAGTTCGAAAACGTAAGAGAACAAGAAGAAATAAAAGAACTGCAAAATTCTGTGTGAGTCAGGATGAAAATTATATGTTGTACGTCTGCATCACTCTGACCGCAACTAGAAAGCCCACATTAACATACATGGTTCAGACTAACGATCGAAGACTGCATGCACTGAGGCCATATTTTAGTCTGGCCACCTCTAGCCTTTTCCCAGCCTCGACCCACTTCAGCTAACGTTGTGAGACAAAGCAGACGGTGACTAGGCATGCGAAACACATGTCCAATCCACCTGAGTCGATGAAGGTCAACAATCTCATCAACTGACTTCCCGCTCCTCTCTGAAACTATACACCTGACTTGTGCGTTGTACATTTGGTTACACATGTAATTTCGTCTGCTACGAAGGGAATAGTGGTCAAACATCTGAAGTCGTCTCATATCATTTACCTTTGATGACTTCCACAGCCATACAGTAGAACGGATTTAACTGCAACACAGTACACAACCTGTAATTGACAATCGGGTATCAGGGTGGGGCCATAAATAGGGTAATTTGGCGGAAGCCAATCAATGTCTCAGGTTTGATCCAGCCTTCTCAACTTCAGGGAGAGTTGGAGGACCGACATATACGTCCCATTCAAGTCCGAGCTGACTGGATGTTGCGCAACTGAAGCGTAGTTGTGAGCCAGTTGAACTGTGCTTCAGGGTTTTCTACCAAACTTTCTTTGAGTCGCTATCGGCGTCCCATCCTTTTCGGTGATGGTTTCACTAGCCACCACCGGGTTTCACCTAACGCTGATGCCTTCCCACCTCTCGCTTTCGCTACCCATCACTTCTGCCGATCATTGCGAAGATTCTTGGTCAATTTACGTTTCAGTTGCTTTAGTTCTTCATTGTGGTCAGAGCCAATTGGAATCAATCTCTCATCAATCAATTCAGATGAAATCCAATGACGTTTACTAACCTTCAGGTGTAGATAACCAATTGCCTACCGTTGTTTCTACAGCACACTGATTATCATACCAGGTTTCCACAAGATAAGGGTCTCATGTCCAGATAAATGCTTAGTTAAGTGCTCCTCTTGTCATAAGACCTCTCGCTCGAGGTACGGGGCAAAATGCCGCCTTCAGGTTGCGAAAAACAGCCAGTGTCGGATGTCGGTGAATGTGCCTGTGTTCCAGAACCTGGTAGAGTGGACTTTTAATAGATACATCCACATGATCAGACCCTGAAACCTACCTGGTTTTCTTGGGTTTGCTTTTCTGGAGCTCCACTTAGACGTCGAATCATTATCGAACCTAAAATCTAACACTTCGTCAGGCTGATTCCCTGGTGGTCATTACCAGAGGACCTTTCACCCTTCTTGAAGACTGGGAGTGGTTGAGGCCAATCAAAGTGGATCTTACCTGACTCCCATACACTAATTAATACTTCAGTTATTTTGAGCAATAATTCGCGACTACCGTCCTTGACTACCTTTGATACCAGTCCGCCCAGACTTGCCGTTCTTCAGCCTATTTATAGCTTTATCGATCTCTGGACGTGTTAAAGGTTCTATCTCAGTGTTCTATTCAGGATGCGACTAGATAGCTGGCAGCGGAATAGCTGTTGGCCAGTTGAACTATTACTCGAGGTGTTCCACCCATCGTGCCAGTCGCCTCCTCTGGGAGTGAGTCGCAGACCCATCCTGCTCCACTAAAGTCTCACTAACCACTGACCTCTTCACTCCATTTCCTATAATAAGTCTAGAACACTGTCTGCTATTACCTATTGCCGTGGCCTTTAGACTTCTCTGTTCTCCACTATTCGTGATCATTGCTTAGACTTCTTGTAAGTTTACATTTCAGTTGTTTCAGCTTCTCTTTGTGCTAGGAACCTACAGGTGTGCATTCGCTTGGATTCAGGAGCTGCTGAGATCTACTGACATTTTCTAACCACTTTCTGAGTCAACTATGGTCTTCAAAACTGCTTCTACAGCAGATTGGGGATGGCACCAGGTTTCTTCTGGATGAGTGGTGTTTAATTTAGTTAGCTGTCCAGCCAGTTTCTCTCTGAAAGCATCCTTAGTTCTGTCAATGCCGATATGTACTCAAAATGGTCTTGTTACTATAGTTTTCTACACCTGTTTAAGTGAAGACACTTACTCGAACCAATGCGTGGTTGCTGTCTAAACATATGCCCCAGAAGGGGTGGGAATCTCCCACTGACTCGGCGATAACTGACAGCAATGTGGTCTGTCTACCGTAGGATTGAGGTTGATGAATGGCACGTCAGACAACGTCTCTCTTTATGTCTGAAGTTTGTATTGGCTAAAAATAGATGGTTATCTAAGCACATTGGGTCGGAGGTCCCTGTTATCTGTTGGTTCGACCGGAATTCTAAAGTTACCACATAGGTGCCTTACTGCCTGACTTATCCTACTTAGTTGTGTAATGAACTCGCCCGCCTAAACAACCACGTCTGAACGCTCATTCAAAGATTTCATGGATTAATGTGGCGCCCCTAAAACTTTTTCAGCGTAAACATGCTTCAGCTAGATTGTGCGACTGAGCGGAAGGTGACTAAGCATGAGTAATAAATGAACCAGTCACCTGAGCCGATGAAGTTTCACAATCTCATTCACTGACTTCTACGTTACTGGCAGGGTGACATCGCGTGCTGCTAACATGTGAGTTCACTTCATGTGAACTTAGTAGACCTGTCAGAACTGCCCCTCTAGACTAGTTTTGAAAGGCCATCTGTGCATATCCGTTCTGACATTTTATTTCTACACCATATGAATTTCTGGTTACTTGAAGTTTTAGCATAATTTTTCCACAGCTAGTGCTAATAAACAGATTTCGCACTCAACTGTGTTTGAGGTACTTGTAAGAATGTCTTGTCATTCACCTGAGATGTTTGGTTGATATAGGAGGAACTAGCCAAGATATGGAAGAATTGCTTCTTCAATATATTCCACTACAAAGTCTTCGCCTAGGTAGGCGTATTTGTGATAGATAATGTTAGTAACAAAATTATACCCACAGAAACTAACCTCGTCATCGTCTACCTTTTAACTGAATATCGATTCTTAGTTTCTTAAATTTGATATGGTTTTCTTTCTCATGCGATTTAAGGTAGTACTTTCCCTTGACGATTTAGGGTGGAAATCTCAGGGTCAAAAGACATCGTGCCTGATTGTTACACTCGTGAAAATCGTGACAGTAAACTTGTATAAACGAGGATTTTAGCTGAATAAATTACCGAGTTGCTTTAATGACCTCGTATTTTGAGTTACCATTTGTGATTACTTATCGTCATGAGTATTGTTTCAACTTCTGTGTCCTGCAGTGTAACTTTCAGTATCTACTAGAATACTTGGAGCCAATTAATACGTCTGTGAATCGATCTCATTATAAAACCTGTAGTTCCAATTTATTAGTGCAAATTATGCTTTTTCTGTGTATCAAGTTTTAATACAACTCGAGAAAACCTGTTTCTGCGCTCTGTTAGTCAATTAGCTTTAAATTTTTGTGACCAAAATCTTGAAATTATGATACATAGGAGTGGGACATTTTAAACCGAATGAAGCCCAATAGGTTTAAAATATGATAGCTGCAGATGATTCAGGCTTTGGAGCAAAATCTGTAGTCATTCCCCTGTAAACGACTTTTTTAAGTAATTGAAAAGTGGAATGTGTTTCTTTGTGACATGATTTACATATTTTATTGTCATTTGTACGAGGTATTTTGAAAAAGTGTGAGTAGTTAAAAAGAGCACGTTTGTCAGGTGGCTATTCAATGAAGCTTATTGTTTTGGGTTATTATCAACTGCTGCATTAAAATTTCGTTTGCATTTTGAAGAATATGTAACAAAATTCAAAAAAGAAACCAACAGTGCTTGCTTTTTTTACATGAATAATGGAGTGCAGTTGGTGACAAATAAGTAGCATAGGATTCTTTAAATGCATCCTTATGTCGATATTTGTGTCTTCTCGATCAATTGTCTGGTTTATTTTCATCGTGATGTCGTATTTAGCGCACATGTATTTAATTTACTTGTTTTTTCAGAATATCAGTAGTACTAACAACGTATTTTGTATCTTATTACTTAAAAAGTCTTTATGGAGAACTCTCTTTTCGTTGGTCTTAATAATGAGGCTGAGTACTGGCGACAGAAAGCTGAAGAATATCGTAAAGGGTAGCTTACCTTTCTTTTTTGATTTACCTAAACCAAAAGTATGGAAGAAGTTCGAGAGGAGTTCGAAGAATTTCGGACCAGTTCACAAGAATTAGAACAAGAACTTGAAACACATTTGCGGCAACTGGAAGTGCGTAACAAAGAACTTGTTGTGTTATGTGAGAAGCTAACTGTTGAAAAGGAGAAATATCAAGTAAGTGAGGACAATAAACATTTCTTGAAGTGCTTAATTCGCACGATAACTTTTGCGTTACTCCTTTGTAGAATCAAGTGGAAATTAATAAACGAAATGTAAATCACGAAATCACCAGACTTCAAGATGAGTTAGAAAAGTCGAAAGTAGATCAAGAAAAAATGCACAAATATATCCGTGAATTGGAACAGCTAAATGACGACTTAGAGCGCTCTAAAAGGTGTGGTTAATTCCTAATTTTCCTGTAACTTTTTTCATAGAGCAACAGTCGTTACACTAGAAGATTTTGAATCCCGCCTAAACCAGGTAATATTTTTCAACGACTGCTATCTCTTCTGTAGTCCATTGAGAGGAATGCGTTCTTGGAAAATGAATTAGATGAAAAGGAGGATTTGGTAGTGACTGTTCAGCGACTTAAAGATGAAACTCGTGGTTAGTGACGTAGACTATTGTTATAGGGTTTTTATCTTTTCATTTTTAATTGTTTTTACGCTAATCTTTGAAGTGTTTACTATTTCCGTGCGATCATAAACCCAAGCGAGTAGGTATAACTAGCAGGTATTTTAGACTAGTAATAACATTCACCTTGAAATTGTTATGTCATCTCGTTTTCTACTTGCAGATAGTCAGTCATGTTTATCATGTGCTATGCACTGGATACACATCCTCTGTTTGTTGAAAGTAATTCGATGAAGAGTTGTATCATAGATTTTATAAATCAAGCTCTTTGAGTTGCTGTTTTTGTGCAATTTCGTTCCTACTGTGTGAGTAATGCTGATATCCCTATCAACGGCAAAATGTAAAGAGATTTTGTGTTCCACTGTTTGCCTAGCATACGAATTTGCAACTTTTAAGGTCATGGGTAATAGCTGAAATGCAAATGCAATGTGATCATTGTGTATAAGCAGTTTATGGGCATTTGGGCTCAACACTTACATTTTAAATATGATAGGCACCTTAGTCGCCTTACCAGCATTTCGGGCAATAATAATTTTAATGTAATTGTAAATATTCAAGTTTTTCAGTTAATATAGTGTTCTGAGTGCCAGATTTTTTTGAACAGTGAAGATATTTGTATTAAAGTTGACAACTTTGATTACTTTCTGCTGCTTGCTCTTTTGATTTGGCACAGATCTCCATCAAGAGTTGGCTATTGCCCGCCGTCAAGTTGAATCGATCCCTACTCAAGAAATGAATAGTGGGAGCAATCCACGTCCTAAAAAAACTACCAGTAGAAGTAAGTGAAATATTTCTGAGTATTTTATTGCCTGCTATTGAAGACTAGTTTATCATGATCGTAAGTACTCCATCTCTTAAGATTTATTTAATAACCGCCTGTTATTTTTGCAACGTACATTGTTGCTCGAAAGTACTGTCTTTCTAAAAGTCCATTATGACCCACCACTAGTTGTTTATTCTGTTACATTTTGTCGGAAGCTTTATATTTACTTCTACACAAAGATACACTGATAATCACTGACTAGAAAATGTCACTTTTCAACTGAGTTCCAGACAATATAAGACGGTAGGACAAACCGATGAACTCAAGGCTGTTTGACCTCAGTTTGGGAAAGCAAGCTGAGGTGACCGGATAGTCATTTGTGTATGTTGTCGGTTTCGTTCAGAAAGTTGATTGGATGGTTTGTTAAAAGCGTGAGCAAACTCATGAGGTAAGTGATACCAAGACCAGTAATAGTGATTGTTATACACTAGGCAAAAAGAAACTCGTGAAACTAGCTGTTCAAATTGTATGAGGTGTTTGGAAAAACTTAAGGATTTAAATCAATCATTTTCAAATATTTTGTGTTCATCACGTATTTTATCCTCACTATCCTCATTAGTCTGCCAGGAAATTACGTATTCCAAAGGAATCAAAACCCCTCCTTTGACATGAAAACTCATTATGCAGTTTCATTATTTTTTCACGGTTTATTGATATTTTTCTCCGAAGCTATGAGTTAACAACTTCGAAATTCTACTTCTCAAGTCATTACTTCATTGAGCGACAGTTCATTTGATAGGCATTCAGTGAGAAACGAGTAGAAATAATTTTCTGGTAGCGTAAAACTAAACCAACGTATCACCAGTTTGTATTTTAGTGAAGCAATTTTTCCTTGTGCTTTGTATTTGGTTCTAAAAATTGAAATGCATTCTAAAATCAGATGGGGTTTGTGGAGTAGGGCTGATAATAATACCTGGCTACTGAGACTTTGATAAGTGGGACGGGGTTTGAACACGTGACCCATAGGTCGAAAGTTAACCACCTAAACCAATGAGCCGCAGCTTGACTACCATTTGTTTGTTGAGTATAATGAGTCTATCACGAAACATGTTCTACTATTTTCAATTTCAAACTGTGCTTATTAATTCACATTATACGATAATGAACAAAGCGTGGTCTAACTACTTGAGTTCCAAGAGTTTATCTGTCGCCTGGTGTCTTTGATCTTCCTCAGTGTAAAACTGTTCAGGTGATAATTACACCAGATCCAACTGCTAATTCGAGAACAGAAAATGCTAAGTAATAAAGAAACTTTTGTCTTTTTCTACAATCCACAAATAAGCTTCAGAATCGTCATCGAATACTTTCTTTCTTTCTCCCTCTGTCACACATGCAGTCACTTCGTCGGCTGTATAGTTTCAGGCTGAGAATTGTAAAACATTTTGTGTACACTTGAATGTAATCAAATTATTCGGAAAATATGATCGGATAAATACCTTTAATTACTCTGTATTTCGAATCGCTCTGTTCCTTATGATTATGAGTAAACTGTTAACGTTGATTCTTAGAATGTGGTCTTAAGCTAATGCTCAGTTATACCTTTCATATGCATCAGCAATTCACAATAGTAGATTTTGATCAATGTGCATTTAGTACGTCCTTACTCACCATCATATCGTGCGGTGAAAGGTGTGATTTCTTATGTTTTGGGTTTGTGATACTGATACTCAGAACGAAAAGACCATATACTTCAAAGTGTGAGAGTGGACGGTATATTTCTCATATATTTCTCAATTTAGTAGAAACAAGAACCAATCAGCGGTTGCTTCAGCATAGTCATATACAAAGCTAGAGGCAGAAAGGTACTGAGTGTATCGTGAAACACCGACATGCATACTGACGCTCGACAATAGCCCTATTTTTTAATATGAAGACGGCATTTGGCTGTATCAGAGGTGCTGTGACAGAGGGTATTAAGCTAGTATGTAATTGCTAATTAAGTTCTCCACTCAAACTCATGGTCGTATGAGAGCTTGCAGGTTGATGTCGTTTGACGTGGTGATCACAAATTGTGTCAACCAAAGATTTCTATTGTCATCCTTCCCGTCCAGCTGTGTTATATATGGTACTTCCAAATTTTCGGATATTCACTTCGAGGAGATAACTTGGTTGACTTGAAGAACTCAGACATCATTTTCTATTAAATGAAGACACTGACAAAATGCAGAGTCTTCTGAATGCATTGAGCAGAAATGTATGGTTGAAATGCGTTTTGCACCTGCAAACGTAAAGTAGGTGATGCTTCACAACTGGTCTGCACCGACTGCTAGTGTAACAGTAGGGATTGAAGTGTTGAAATGTGTTGACCACTTCACTCACTTGGGAAGTTACATCAACCTAAATTGGTTAGTTGTTGATGAAATCTCAGTTTAGATACAAAAGATTTGTTTGATATTTATCAACTTGGTCATTTTTGGCGCGAAGGATGACATGTCCGACCACTGTTGCCTTCGAAGCGTAAGCACCCCCAATAAATGGCGCAAAAGTCAGGCTTAAATTCAGTTGAAGAGGTTGTGGATTTT